TAAGAAATACTGAAAACTCAAAGCCATTGAGTTATTATTAATGGAGTTATGATTTTTTTCAAATAATGATGTTTTGGAAAGTAAGATTTTACAAACAATTTTTTCACTCAAAAATTAAAGTGAGTAGAAAGTTGAAATTTTGAGGACTTTTTCCTAAAGGTTCAATGTAAAAAATACTGAAAACTCAAAGCCATTGAATTATTTTTTAATGAAGTTATGATTTTTTTAAATAATGATGTTTTGTAAAGTAAGATTTTACAAACAATTTTTTCACTCAAAAATTAAAGTGATTAGAAAGTTGAAATTTTGAGGACTTTTTCCTAAAGGTTCAATGTAAAAAATACTGACAGCTCGAAGCCATTCAGTTATTATTAATGGAGTTATGATTTTTTAAATATAATGATGTTTTGTAAAGTAAGACTTTACACACAATTTTTTCACTCAAAGATTAAAGTGAGTGGAAAGTTGAAATTTTGAGGACTTTTTCCTAAAGGTTCAATGTAAAAAATGCTAAAAACTCAAAGCCATTGAGTTATTATTAATGGAGTTATGATTTTTTTTAAATAATGATGGTTTTTGAAGTAAAACTTCATAAACAATTTTCTCACTCAAAGATTAAAGTACGTGGAAAGTTGAAATTTTGAGGACTTTTTCCTAAAGACTTAATGCAAAAAATACCAAAAACTCAAAGCCATTGAGTTATTATTAATGGAGTTATGATTTTTTTAAAATAATTATGTTTTGTAAAGTAAGACTTTACAAACAATTTTTTCACTTAAAAATTAAAGTGATTAGAAAGTTGAAATTTTGAGGACTTTTTCCTAAAGGTTCAATTTAAAAAATACTAAAAACTTAAAGCAATTGAGTTATTATTAATGGAGTTATGATTTTTTTTAAATAATGATGTTTTGTAAAGTAAGACTTTACAAAAAATTTTTTCACTCAAAAACTAAAGTGAGTGGAAAGTTGAAATTTTGAGGACTTTTTCCTAAAGGTTCAATGTAAAAAATACTGAAAACTCAAAGCCATTGAGTTATTATTAATGGAGTTATGATTTTTTTCAAATAATGATGTTTTGTAAAGTAAGATTTTACAAACAATTTTTTCACTCAAAAATTAAAGTGATTAGAAAGTTGAAATTTTGAGGACTTTTTCCTAAAGGTTCAATGTAAGAAATACTGAAAACTCAAAGCCATTGAGTTATTATTAATGGAGTTATGATTTTTTTCAAATAATGATGTTTTGGAAAGTAAGATTTTACAAACAATTTTTTCACTCAAAAATTAAAGTGAGTAGAAAGTTGAAATTTTGAGGACTTTTTCCTAAAGGTTCAATGTAAAAAATACTGAAAACTCAAAGCCATTGAATTATTTTTTAATGAAGTTATGATTTTTTTAAATAATGATGTTTTGTAAAGTAAGATTTTACAAACAATTTTTTCACTCAAAAATTAAAGTGATTAGAAAGTTGAAATTTTGAGGACTTTTTCCTAAAGGTTCAATGTAAAAAATACTGACAGCTCGAAGCCATTCAGTTATTATTAATGGAGTTATGATTTTTTAAATATAATGATGTTTTGTAAAGTAAGACTTTACACACAATTTTTTCACTCAAAGATTAAAGTGAGTGGAAAGTTGAAATTTTGAGGACTTTTTCCTAAAGGTTCAATGTAAAAAATGCTAAAAACTCAAAGCCATTGAGTTATTATTAATGGAGTTATGATTTTTTTTAAATAATGATGGTTTTTGAAGTAAAACTTCATAAACAATTTTCTCACTCAAAGATTAAAGTACGTGGAAAGTTGAAATTTTGAGGACTTTTTCCTAAAGACTTAATGCAAAAAATACCAAAAACTCAAAGCCATTGAGTTATTATTAATGGAGTTATGATTTTTTTAAAATAATTATGTTTTGTAAAGTAAGACTTTACATACAATTTTTTCACTCAAAAACTAAAGTGAGTGGAAAGTTGAAATTTTGAGGACTTTTTCCTAAAGGTTCAATGTAAAAAATACTAAAAACTCAAAGCCATTGAGTTATTATTAATGGAGTTATGATTTTTTTAAAATAATGATGTTCTGTAAAGTAAAACTGTAAGGTGCATTAGTTAAAAATATTTTTGAATATGCAGGGTACTCCGTAAATGGGGTATGCGACAGAACTTTGTTATTTAAAATGGAACATCCTATATTTTAATACAATAATGAATCGTTCTAAAAATCCTACATACATTTTGTTAGGAGTTACCTATACTAAAACTCAACCATTTTTGAAAAACTTATTTAATATTTTTCCAAAAAATTGCATGTGTCAACAAAAACCATCATTTCATTCATTTGAGATGCTTAAGCTAAATCTTTTGCAGGTTGTCAGTGTATATCTACATTTACTTCATAGAGTCCTATGAAAATCTGATCACAAAACCAGACATTTCAAACAACCATAACTGATTTTTTTTTATTTCACTGTATAGTAGGTACGTCGGTACTATGGCAAACTTTGGTACTGGTGAGCCTATCAATTTATACAATGCCATCAAATGCTTTATTTTGTAGAACTTGTCTCTTGTTGAAATTTTATTGTAATTAATAAATATATTTAAAAAAAAAATTGTCTGGTACGGGTAATTACCCCCTCTACCCCCCCCCTTTAAACCGCCCTTGCTCGCAACTGGATTGTTAGTTACCTTTATCCTATAGTCATATTGTTTTTCTGACATTGATTTTCCCTAATTTATGAGCCGATATCATCCATAAATGTTGCTATTCAGTTTCCTTAATAAGTGTAAAGGTGGTTCTCATCGTTACGAGACCTTTACTAGGAATTTTGGGTACGTTGGAAAGTTGGAAAGCATCACTTAAGAGGGTTCATGAACTTTAATACAGAACCGCATTCCATTTGAATTTGGCAATCGTTGGTTAACACCTATTTTCTGGTATTAAAAAGGGATATCAACTTCCGCTGTTTTCAGGCTTTTGGGTTATTTGATCAATTATAATTGATGGGATGTTCGTTTCCGAAAATCATTGCTTTCTTGGATTTTGATGATCAACTTAAGTCGTATACCTACCTACTGGAGTTATTGCTTTTGGTACTTAAGTTTCTTTTTGATTTTTCGCCCAGGTATCATTTCATTCGATTTAATTCAATCACTTGAGTATATCTAATAGAATTCCCGCTAAACGTAATCAACTCGATTCCTAGAAACCTGGCCGGGTCGTCAATGCAATTCCGTAAGGATGCTTGATGATGGATTAAGTTGAGTGTGACATGCATTTTTTACATTACAACACTCATAATATTCCTACTCTATAACTGAACTTGTGGCTCAAATTTCTACTTTGGACTAATCCGGAGGTACCGGATTGATAAAGTACAAAACTGTACTTTACACTGTTCAAAAGCTTAAAGGAACAACAAACATTGCATATATTTTTTATCTTGTGATAGGAGATCTTCACAATATGTATAAGTTTGAAAGTTTGGTAAAAAAAACTTATCGGACACAGTTATGTAAAGTTTCATATTTAATGCAGATTGCAGTGTATGTTTGGTTTACCAAGGTTCACCAAGCTCACTTAGATTAACCAAAACTCGTACCATAATGGCGAATATAAAGGAAATTGTTCCAGACCTTGTATTACCTTTGTTGATTCACTACCTCAAAACTTTCCAGATGTGAGTAAATCAAACACTTTTGCTTTTTTAATATTTACATAGATGATGACATAAAGATAATGGTGTAAACACGGAAAATTTTGAAAATAGCTTATCTATCAAAACACCGTATATCTATTTTGATAATGTACCTCTGCTACCTAAATACTACTAAAAAAATTCAATAGTAATTTGAACTGTGATTTAGTACAGTGCCTTTATTTCGACTGTGTTTGAGTTTTATATAAAAATGTTGTGTGAACGGACTAAGTAATAAAAATATAAAGTCAAATGACTAAGAAACAAAACCACATGACTTTTGTATAGGGGCAGTGGGGTAAATATAGACCAAACTAATTATATTATATATTAGCGTTTTCCAAATTAATATGCCAGACATTATTAATCTTTTATTTATTTGCACCAATATCTAATCTCTCAATGAGACAAATTTATTGGAAATTCATCAATTAGGTAATTAGTTTGCACTGGGCAGCTTAGAAGAAGCTTTTCAGTGATAATTTATGGCTATGTAAGTAGAGAAACACATCTTGGTTTATTCAGTATTATATACCTAGTCCTCAAAAACCTTTGTTTCTTTACTCAATTATGCATGAAGATATTCCACATTACTTTGACCCATTGTGTAAGTATTTTTCAACGTCTACATTCACCCGACAGACTCCTTTTTCACTTGTCTAATCGCATATTTAACATTTGACCTGGAACAAATGACTGATAACGAAATTACAATATTTTTCTTAAAATATATGAGTCGAACCAGACTTATAGGTGCATACTTAATGATGCATTAATATAATTGCTATGCGGTTTAATTTAGTGATTCGTGTTATTCTGGTAGATCAAGATGTTTTTGCATTCACCTAGGAATGGATATGAAGGTAAGAATATTTATATTTTTTACGGTAGATAAGTAAATAATATAAAAAAATAGAATGTTGTTAGACGAAGATAAAAAGAGTTCGATATGAAATAATGTATTTTTTTTTCTTTCAAAGTCTCTATACCCAAGTCCGATTTGCTATTTTTTCCAGTGAATAAATTTTTCGGGTCAGTTAAGTTTGACCCCCATGCCGCCCTGATCTTAGAACAAAATACATATGCCATAAGTTTGCACAATCCGAACCAAATTTTGCACACCCTCCTCCGAAAGACTACGGCCGTTTTCTATAAAGTTGTGCAAATTTGACTAATCCCTAATTTTGCACAGTTCTGTGGAGAAAGTTATAGACCAAGAAACCATGAATATTTCTTCTCCGACCTCATCCAACCTTAATATATCTTTTACTGTTATATTCTACCAAAATTTTCCTTTTTTTATAGTAATAGAAGATCCTCACGCACAACAACACACTTCCTTCAAACACAAACTAGAATCTGCCTTGTTGCAAGCGAAAAAGCGATTTTGCGGAGTATGGACCAAAAAGACTTTATTCAAACGTTTCCCAATATTGAGATGGCTGCCAGAATACAATGGAGACTGTGCAGTAGGTCAGTACCTATGTATTTTCCATTAAGTTTAGACAACCGTTAATATATCTACCTATTACCGATGAAGACACACAAACATTAGTAATTTTTCGAGAAAGTTATCATTGATGAATGAACTGCAAATTTCTAAAAATATTACATTGATTCTTCATGATATTTTTTAGGTGATCTCCTGGCTGGTATCACAGTAGGTCTGACAGTGATCCCTCAAGCTCTAGCCTACGCCAACATAGCAGGCCTGCCACCTCAATACGGTCTCTACGGCTCATTTCTGGGCTGTTTGGTATACATTTTCCTGGGCACTTGTAAAGATGTTCCTGTAGGCCCTACAGCAGTAGCCGCTCTCCTTACCTTCCAATCTTTGAATGGTAAAGGAATCGAACACGCAATTCTGCTGTGTTTCTTTACCGGACTTGTGCAAATTCTTATGGGAATTTTTGGATTAGGTAAATATAAATTTATGACTTTTTCATGATCTATACTCTTCCAATACTTAGTTATGCCATTCTTTAAGATACTACTTCACAATGCTTATTAATAAATAAACAATCTGTCTCTTCTCTTTCAGGATTCCTCATTGACTTTGTCTCAGGCCCGGTGTCGTCGGGTTTTACCTCAGCTGCAGCCCTTATAATAGTAACATCTCAAGTAAAAGATCTTTTAGGCATAACAGCGTCTGGAAATGCTTTTGTGGAAACCTGGAAAAGTATCTTCAAGGATATACATAACACTAGATTATGGGATACCGTGCTTGGAGTTACTTGTATTGTGATACTTTTACTATTAAGGGTAAGATTTAGAGTACTACAAAAAGTACTAGAATCTAAAAAAATACCTATTTTTATACCAACAGCTAGTGGCCCAAATCAATATTGGAAAAACCAGAGAACCAACCAAAGTTGAAAAAATGATTAACAAGTTCATGTGGGTATTTGGTACTTCGAGGAACGCCATTTTGATGATTGTTTGTGGTGTAGTCGGATTTTTCTTCTGCCAACAAGGTACCTACCTGATAAAATTTGTACCTATAGTTCATAATAATTATTATTTGTCTTATGTCTAGGTGAACCCCCATTTAAAGTTATCGGTGCCGTGCCGCAAGGATTGCCAGATTTTAAAGTACCACCATTCGGCTACAATGTTGAAAACAATGGTACCGTAACTCATGTGAGCTTATCGACCATGATTTCGGATTTGGGAAGCGGCATTATTGTGGTACCGCTTGTGGGGATTTTGGAGAATATTGCTGTCTGTAAAGCATTTTGTAAGTAAATATGGAATACATCTAGAAAATCGCTTCATTGTTAGTACCTCAACTTTATAGTTCAATCTAACAAAATACTATATTTCTAGCAAATGGTAAGCCAATAGACGCAACCCAAGAACTGATAGCCATCGGCACATCCAACATCATGAACTCGTTCATCCAAAGTTTTCCTGGCACAGGATCTTTATCCAGGAGTGCTGTGAACAATGCCAGCGGTGTACGTACCCCTCTAGGAGGGCTTTACACTGGCATTTTAGTAATTTTAGCTTTACTATTCTTTACGCCATATTTTTTCTACATTCCTAAAGCCACACTAGCGGCCATTATTATTGCAGCAGTAGTTTTTATGGTGGAAGTGAAAGTGGTCAAGCCCATGTGGAGATCGAAAAGTAAGGAATTATTTTCGTTATTTAGGAAAATTGTTAATACGAAATTGATTTGCAGAGAGTGATTTCTTCTTGGCCATAGCAACTTTTGTGTCGTGCTTGATACTTCCATTGGAACAAGGAATTGTTGTTGGTATTGGGATAAATCTGATTTATATTTTGTATCATGCCGCGAGACCTAAAATCAGCGTTGAAAAATTATTTGTAAGTACCCCCAATAAGCAATTTATTCTTTTGAATATTTCTTATATTGGTAAGACTTTTTTTTTATAAATATAACAAAATTTCATCACATCAACCTTGGTAGAACCTATTAATTGTATCACAACATTGATAGGATTTATTCATCTTCCGATAAACTTACTGGTTAGTTTGGGACAGTTACCAGTGTCTACAATATACGTTTACGAATCTTGAATTTATAATCCTAGTGGTCAGCAAATAGAAAATAATGACAAAATGGAAAATAAAAGAGAGCAAGAACAAAGAACACCAGTAGTTGTTTACTGGTTGTAGATTGTAGATTGCATTTGGAGTCTAGCCGTTCAATCACTGCTTCCTTTCCAGATATTTTGTACATGACTCTGCTTCTAAGTCTAGGTAAAGGTTCTATGCGGAATCGAGCGCAAAATCGGTCATTTTTACATGTAAATCTCCATAAGAAACTCTAAGGTCCGATTTGGCATGTTTACATGCAAAAATGACCGATTTTGCGATTGTTCCGCGTAGAACTTCTAGTTGGTGTCCAAGATTTGTAGGCTTCTCCCAAAGGAGGCCAGCTTCCTGGGTGGTAAAGTGCTCATCTCTTGGGGTGTTAGCCGCCAATGTATTTTAGCCCTTTGCAGAAGTAGGCAGTGTATAACTTTGTCGAGCACTTAGTTATGAAATAAAGCATCTTTATCATGTTCCAATATGATTCTGTATTAGATCTATTACAAAATTCTGTACCTACATAGTAATAATAATGTCTATTATAACAATTGAACAATTACCCGTTGAAAAATGTTGGGGGTGGTTACTACCCATAAGAAAGGGGTAAATTCCATGAAAAGGCTGAAAAAATGTGCCAAAATAAAAATAAAGGGGCCCGGTTTTTTTTATTTTTCCAGAAAAAAAAACAGGCTTTTCTGATACTGAATTTATTTCATTTAAAAATTCCACCCTGTATATGTAGTCCCTGTCCAAATATCCTCCTTCTATGCTCGCTGGTGGCAGGTTTTGGATGAACTTTACGAGTGAAGTGCGACTGCCGAGGTTGGTAGTTTTTGGCTGTTTGTTAGCGATTTATGCGACTTCAGGTTATATAAGGAGGTTTTCTTTCCAACTTCAGGCTTGTAAAGCCTCTCTTTCTGAGCACCTTTGGAATCCTCCGGTACTGAAGAGTTTGTATCCGTATTCTTGGAGGTACCAGGTAACGTCCTTGTTGCTTGCGACTCTTCTCCATTCCGCCACTTGTGGCGTTTCTACAGTGAAACCCCACAAGTGCCCAAACTTGTAACTGATTACGTTTATTTGCAAACCCCTCTAACAGAGAGAGTCAAGGTAAGATGAACCTCCGGTTCCTGGGATTTAGGCCTTCCACAAGTTTGAGGAGTTTCTTCTTTCTCTGTCAAGTAGTCCTGACTCCCTAGAAATCTCTTTACCATAACATCTCAATGAGGAATTTCAGATTCCTGTACCTAATGATGTTTCTTTCAGGGTTTGAGTTGGCTGACAATGCTCAGCAGCCATTGCTCATATGGTTTTAATTATAGTGCCGAGACAATTGAAAATTCCTCTTCTAGATCTTTGGATAGGTATGATGGTACGAAGTTTTTCATTGGCAGCTTTTAATAGAAATTGTAAACTTTGATCGAAATCTTGCAGGCTTTTGAAGTATGGGTGACTTAGACCATTTTCCATTGCCGTTCTTACTGATTCGTATTGTTCTTCCAGAGACTGAAGTTCCTTAATTACTGGGAAGAGGTCAAAAAACTGAATAAAGTCGTGGAATTTACTCTGAATCCTTGCTCGTCCCAGCTTGAGGGAAAGTATTTCTGGGTTGTCCTTCAGGTCCTGGATCAGGAGGTTCTGAGCCACCGACGGCTGGGGAATATCTGTAAGGAATTTTTAGAGTTATTTTCTAGAATATTTTTAATAATCTTTTAATGTATTGTGTCTTGAGTGTCAATGGTCACAATATTGTCAGTTGGGAGAGAATCTTGGAAGTGGTTTGTTCCGCTTTACAATTTTCCGGTTATGTTTCCTTTTTCTATGTACTTTTCTTTGGATTATTGAATTTTTTGATTCAATTTCCTGTAGATAATTTTCGTTTCTTCCCGGTGTTGCTGGATATAATTATTTATAAGTGTTTTCCTAACGTCAAGCGCATCCAGGTGACGTCAATATATCCATTGGTCGCTTGTTAGTCATTGAATGGATAGAATTAATTGTATCCGAGACGTGCATAGGGCATTTGTTCTTTAACGCGTAGATATTTTTTATTTTCTCAAAGTATTCTCAGGTGTTCGATAACGGTGGAGTGGAATCTTTCTATCATCCCGTTGGATTGTGGGTTATCAGGGATAGTATAATGGATGGATATCTTATGTGTATCTACAATTTGCTGTATAAGTCCATTTTTAAATTCTGGTCCACTATTGGTGACTATTATTTGTGGTTTTTCATGATAAGATATAAAGATAAGGAGGACATTAAGAACATTCACTGAATTTGATCCCTCTATGGGGTAGGCTTGTCCAAATTTTGAGAACGAATCAATAATTGTTAAAAACTTTTGCCCTCCGGCTTGAGGCGATTTTCAGCCTGGAATGATTATTATTAATGCATTTCCGCTGTTGCGGTTTTAACCAAAGTAGGGGAAGTTGTGACGTCACATATCAGCTGATTTGCTTTTGGTATTTACCACTTATAACCGATTATAACCCAGCTTTGGACTTGGGTTAATCTTTTGGTTACAGCTTTTTGATGTTATTGTTATTATTTTTGAAATTTGTATTGGTGTTTTGTGATTTTGCAGTTGCGTTGTAGCCTGGCACAATGAAAGAAGTAAACATTCACTCACTCACTGCAATTCACCATGTTTAGATCAAGGTTTAGATTATCCCCAAAGAAAATCTGTTCGATAAACGAGACTAACGAGAGATTCAGCTCCATTTTCTGTACCTAAACAAAAAACTATTGTTGAAACGAAAAAACAAATAAGAATAATAAACATAATCCTACACTGCTATAACCAAATCATTTCAGCGGTCAGTTCCTTGGGTTATGATTCTTGAATGGTGGGGAGCTATGACGTCAAATTTGGCTGTCAAAAGTGTCAACCAAAAGAATAACCACGATATTTACCGATAAATAATCATTCCAGGCTGAAAATCGCCTTTGAAAGTTGTAGATGAATAATTTCCAAAGGTCTAGTCGGTGTTGGAGTAATCATGAATTCAGATTTGGCTGGATTTCTATCGTATTTGTTAAACTGACAGGTGTCGCAAACATTTATGATATTTTCGATATGTCGTTTGAGGTTAGGCCAGTAATATTTCCTTCAAATATGCGCTTCGGTTTCATTAATTCCTCGATGATTTGTTTTTCCTTGATGATAGGCCTGGATTATTTCACTTTGTCTTTCTTTGCTATTGACGTCTTCTAGGAGAAGGTTGCATTTGATAAAGTCAAATGCAGAATTTTTAAAAGTTTCTTCAAGAATGTTGCATAGAGGAACATAAAGATCTTCGTCCCTATAATTTTTTTTTTGGAGTCTATTTTTTCTTTAAGAAGCTTTATAAAGCTTCCTTCTAAGTTATTCTTGCTTATTTGGACATCTGGCCTGGATTTGTTAGGGAAGGCTACTTCTATTTTTCGGCTTTGCTGGATTATAACTAACATACTTGAGAACAAATTGGTTATTGTAGTAGTTGAGGGCTCTTTCTCTCATTTGACTAGGTTCTAGAACTTCGTCTATATGTCGAGGATTGATTCTGCATTGTTGTACAAAGATGCATTATCTTCGTCTTGTGATGGTAGGGATATTTCTTTGGTATGGATTTCGACTATGAATAGAGCATCTGCACTGGTGTTTGATTTTCCTTTCTTATAAATTATCTCATAATCAAAATCTTCTAATTTTAAACGCCATCTAACTATTTTGGAATTATTGTCTTTCATGGAAAAAAGCCATTGGACAGGACGGTGATCTGAAACTAAACCGTGTTTTTTTTTAAAGATAAAAGTCAAACTGACATTATGTTGGCAATACAATGTAAAATTGTCAATGATTTCAAATTTTTTATGTAGAAAAGGCTTGCGTTGCCAACATAGTTACTAAATTTTTGACTTGGGGAATTATCTTTAAAAAAAAACAGACTTTATCTTGAACTTTTTCCCAAACAAGTAGAGTTTGAAGTACTTGGTGGCCTAGATTATGGCTAACCTTTCCTTTTCGTTGAGTGTCCTAGTGTCAAACAATTTACTTCCAAAACCAGAAATACTTTTCCTTTCATTAACATTATTTGCAAAATCAGCATCAAGATAAGCTGAAATAATGCCACTCTTAAAACTTAGCTTTGATTTTACGTACCTCGGCCCAAAATTTTCAGTAAGTTTCAAATATCTCAAAATATTTTTCAAATGTTTCCAATGCTCGTTGTTGTAACAGTTTTGAAATTGGCTGAAGTATGTAACTGCAGAACACAAATCAGGTCTTCTTCCCAACAAAATGTTCAATAAATTTCCTAACAGTTCCCTATAGAGTAGATTCTCATTACAAGAGTTGCCGTTAAGTAAGACGTTGACAACTGAGACGTTGGAAGATTTTTGTAAGATAAACCAGATGTTTTTGAAGTGATGTGCTGAACACAATGATATCGTCCATGTACACTAAGCAATTTTCTCCTTGAAGGCCGTTGAAAACTTTATCCATTAGCCTCTGGAACGTAGCCGGAGCGTTTTTTAGTCCAAATGGCATCTGGACATACTCGTGATGGCCATTTTAGACATTAAAAGCAGTTTTGCATATATCTTCCTTTTGATTTGTTGGACTACTATCCGCCATTTTATTTTTCCAGAGGCATTTGGTTTTTGTTGAAACTATCCATATCGGGGAAGACCAAGACTGGTTTGGTCTGATAATCCTTTGATCCAACATTGAAGATATCTTGTTTTTCATTTCCTCTTTATGGATATGTGGATATCTATATAACTGGAATCTCATCTTATGTTTTAATATGGTATTTGATCTGGTTTGTAACATGTCTGGATAATGGAAAATGTCTGCATACTTCCTACATAAATTTTATATTGCTTCTCCTTCCTCTGAATTTAGGTGATTAGTTCTGATTTCAGGAATCTTGCCATGCGGTGACACTGATTCCTGAGTAATTAGATCCGTGGTGTAGATATGAAACTGATCAATGTCCAACTGCGTGCTAATGACTGGACTTGTCAGAGCTATCTTAATTTCTTCATCGGTTGTGTTGACAACTTCAGTCAAAGCGAGTTGATTACAAGCAGATGTGAGTGTTTCGTTAATTTGTGCGCCCTGGAGTATTTTGCCAGACAAAAAATTGTAGTCGAGGAGTCTGAAAATGTGCAGGCTGTACGATAGGCTGTCTAGTCTGGTTGAATGGGGACCTGAATTCTGAATTGCTATGTTTGCTGCTGTGATGCTCTCTGGAATAAAGAAGAGGGCCACAACTGCTGTTGGATAGAATTTTGAAGTCTGAATTGTTGCGATTGGAATGTTTGCAAGAAAGTCTGGCTGGGTTGCATCACTATCTGCTTCTGATTATATTGTTTTTTTTTGAGCCACTGGTTTGTGGAATGGAGAAACCTTTTTGGAGGTATCTGATGTTGTTTTCCTTCTGGATAAGTTGCATTGTTGCAGATAGGTCGCTGGGCCGCATAGTACTAATAGTTGATCCTAATATTTCTCTTAGTCCTGCCATAAATGTGGAAAGCGCCTCTGTTGATGGAAGAAAAGTTTTTTACTTGTTTTAACATCTGGATTATTATGGTGGAGTTAGTATTCAAGTTCCATAACTTTTTCATAGAATTGTTGAGGAGATTCGTTTGAAGTTTTGTATCAGAACTTCTTGAATTGCTTCCCAATCAAGCATCCATAAATCGAAACAGTTTCTTTTGCTCGATCAGTAAGTTTACTTTTGATGCTCTGGGTAAGCATGTGGTTCTGAAAGCATCCTATATCGGTCTTGTTCCAGTAATAATTTAGTAGTACCGTCGTGGAGTTAATAAACTCGAAGAGTTCATTGGGATTCCTCTTATATTCTGGAACGATAGCCAGGTTCTTCATGTCGAAATTTGGGAGATTGGCAGGCCTGTTTTTGTTCCATTCAGTAAGATTTAGAATTTGGAGTTTCTTTCTAGTAAATCGTCAGTAGACATATATGCTAAGAGTAGTAAACGGATGCACTGGTGCATATTAACACTACAATCACTAAAAGTCACTTAGGCACTAACTTTTGTCGGAGAACTTTGAAGTTTCCTTCGCGATATGGTTCACGAACGACGAGGATCCTTGAGGACTCTTCCACTATACTACAGACTGAGTCAATTAAGGATTTTCTCTGGAAAAGGGTGTTTTTTAAAAAGCCCTTTAATTAGAAATTAATATTTATTACGAGAACACAATGTAAATTGGAACTAATCCTAACACCTAATTGCCTACAATTTATATATAAAATATTGCTTAGGTTAGTAATTAAGTTTAATCGAAATTGCTTGTTACATCGGGTTGTCTCTGTTGAGCCATGGGTTCAATGATATTCGGTGGTATTCCGGATATATGGGGTCATTGATCCGTAATTTGCTTGAGACAGGGTCCCTACTGCTTGGCCTTCTTCTTCTCCTGCGTTTTGGGCATATTCTATTCTGAACGGACCCATTTCAGATCCTTTTCCAAAGGGTTCCTTTCCTCAAGAGAAAAGTTCACTGGTTATAAAGAATATACTTTAAATTGACTAATCGAATTATTTGGCATAATAAAAAACGATATATATTGATATCAAGTCTGCTTCTTTGTGTCTTCACTTCGGGATCCTGTTTTGAACCGTATAGGATACGATTCGTTCTTTTCGATCCTCCAACACTTATAATATTTAGGTATCTACCACATTTATCATCAAAAATTATTAGTACCTACGTACCCAAAATTGTTTCATTTGGCTCGACATATGCAATTATATTTTCATTTCATCTTCTCCCACAATCTTTCGGTTGAACAAGAGGGCTTTCAAAACTGGTCAAACATCTTGATTATAAATAAAGTAATTTGAGTTTGTATAACTCATGATAAACTTATTTTCTCAATGAATTGACTCTTAACTGAATAGTGAGTAAGTTCTAATATTTATTCCTTTTTTTTTAGTCTCAACAAGGAACCGAATACTTACTCCTCACCCCTGACAGATGTCTCATTTTCCCATCAACAGATTACGTCAGAAATTTAGTCACAAAACACTCAATTCGTCAAGGTATTCCTGTCGTTATCGACTGTTCACACATTTATGGTGCTGACTACACTGCTGCCACAGTCATAGGTACAATAACAAAATTTTATTTAAATTCAACTAACAAGTTACTTTTTCCAGAGAGTTTAACGTCAGATTTCGCATCCAGAGACCAACCGTTGCTATTCTACAATCTTAAACCTTCAGTGAGCTCAGTCTTCCAAGGATTAAGCCCTAAGGATTTCGTAGTCTTCTACAATCACGAAGACGTGGACGATTTGCTGAAAAATAGGTCTTGCATCAAGAAACAAATGGAAATTGACGCCTAAAATGTGTTCCTAATTAAGTACCTACTTGTATAAATAGGGTTTAAGATTATTTAATTAAAATTTCCAATTGATTGGTTATTGATTTACCGTTACTTTTAGACTCTGTTGAAGCGGTTTCCTATAAAATTGTAAGCTCGACTTTTGCTAGATGTGTCTGTGATATTCAGGGTCAATAAGTCCAGCTCAATGTAACCAAGTTCATTTTTTTTTAAAATGAAACAAAAATCATGTTTTGTAAATAAATCAATTATTGGATAATAAATATTTCTTAAGAAAATGTTAGAGAGGCATGATTATGTAACGTTTATGCAACCTTGAAATGGTATTTTTTTAATACAAGGTTTAGGAAGTTTACTGTAGGTGAGTTTTTCTTTCGTAAATCTGTATAATATATTGTATTTTATCCTTCTGGTAGTTTAAAAATAAAATTGTGATATTAATTTTTATAAAAATTGAGTTTTATTTTCATCTCACGTGACTTTTATGCCAATTCAACAAAATTTGAACCCTCAAAAATCAAAAGTTTCTTTAGAACGATATTTATCAATTTTCCTAATACCTCCATTTATACATACAAGATTATAGATGGTACTATAAATCCCAACAATTTGGAACCATCTTGGAAAAAAAATACATAAAAACATAATGTGTATTAATACCTTCGCCTTTAACACATATTAACAAGTCAACCTTCAATTTAATTAATTGCATTAAGCAACGGTTCATTTGCCTTAACGCAATACATTTTGAAGAGCAGTATACGACGACAGGTTCTCTGATAAAATTTATATTTATCAGTAAGCCTGCACTTGTGTAAAATGAACATCATTGTGCGTTTATAAAAGTTTCATCATGTTTATTCAATTTTTACTATTATTAATTACTTTAGTTGTTATTTATGCGTTTTGTTCAAAGTTTTTAGTGCCGGTTTTATATTGGAAACTTCGAGGTGTTTACCATGTGAAGTAGAGATAAATGGCCGGTTCTGCATCCTCCGACGCCTCCGACGCCTCCGAAGCCACTGCGCATGCTCCAACCTGGGTGTGGCGACGCTCTGACGTCAGAGCATCGCCTCATCTACCCGCGCCATCTGTTGAGCAAACCGAACATTACCCCCACCCCCACCCCACCCCCCAACCCCTTCCCCTCCCCGCGCGCCATCTATCATCAATCATTCAAACTCATCTACGAGCACCATCTAGCGGAAAGAACAAGAACGTGGCGCAGCTCATCTACGAGCGCCATCTAGCGGAGAGAACAAGAACTTGGCGGTTGCAGCGAGCTTTTTTTTTTTTTACCCGCACGTTACCAATCGTTCCGTACCATCCACGCACGAATTAAAAAAAAGTCTATGTCGCTGCTGGGAATCGAACCCGAGGCGCCCGCTCCATAGTCACCGTCAGCCAGTGCTATAACCAAACGAGCTAAGCTTGCCTTGGAAATTAAACCGCTAAATGTTGTAGACATGAAAAAATAGGCTTGGCTTATTGTCGTTCGGTTGGCTGGTTCCGTTGCTAGGCTAGCCTCGCCTGATTTCTATTATTATAAATAATATTCTCTGACGTAACAATAATTTAATTACAACATTCGTTAAGTAATCATAGACGAAATAATATTGTTAATGTCCTAATGGTAGAGAACATTAAACGGCTGCTTGTATTTCGAGAGCTTTAGGAATGAAACAGTTATATATTTATTTAGAAACTCCACTTGTAGCTTGTACTGATAGAAATCAGAGAAATGAGAATCAGAAGAAATCAGATGACACCATGAGATAAGGAGCTGCGTCAAATTTCTGAAAAACCGCCAAAAATTTGGGATTGGCCCGGGTCAAATCCCCGAAATTTCAGATCAAAGGCGCCGCTGATTTAGAGATTTTCCCACGCTATCGAAAAAGTTCCCAGGCTCAGGTGCCCCCGTTACTATAAATTCCAAAATAATTAACAGGGTTTCATAAAATATTCACAGATAGTTAACAATATTAGCTAGTACTCTAATGGTGTAGAGACAATATATTTTAATAATTAATTTCTTCTTGGGTTGAATATTTTAAATTTGTTACCTACACGAGATGACTAATTAAATTATTTACGTAATTCATTAAAATCCCGATTAAAATTGATATTATTATTACATTAAAAAATTATCCATAGGAAAATTCCACCTTATTTATTAAACTCGTGTTGGATTCAAGGATTTTATGCAGATGCAGTGCATTATTTCGCGTCATACCTAAATAAACCATTGTTCAATTATTTATCATTTCTCGTCGCAATTTCGTCACAGTAAGATCACTTTGGGTTCCGTTGCGACTGTGTGTGTGTGTGTGTTGGTGTGTAATTTTTGTGGAGAAATTATTTTTAAAATCGTAAGTACCGATTCCTTTTTAACTTATTAAACCAATTTAAAAAATTTCTTTTTCTTATTTTTCACTCAATGTTTTTATGTACCTATGTGCGAAGTTTTGTTTGTTTAAAGGTAGTTTTAGTTGTTTATGAGTTTTTCTTTTAAATTTGAGTTTAGAAATGTGGGTTTTCCAAGAAATTTAATTGTTTTTTTTTATTGGGAGAGATTTTGAGAATCTGTTTAAAAGTTTTTTTTTTTTTTTATAGTAACAAATAGGTACTAAACATAAATAAATAAATAAAGAATTATAATAGTTTAGTCAAAAATATTTATTTAATTTTATTAAAGTTTACAATACAGTGTATTTTTGAGAATCAAAATCATCAGCATCAAGATCATAGATAATTGATGCTGACGTTGATGGTTTAATTATTCTATTTTCCAAAATTTTCATTCTTTTTTTCTTGGGTTCTTCTTGCTTTTCTTCTTCTCCTGCCTCAAGCTTCTCCTCCTCATAAACCTCAGATATTTGCCTCTTCCAGTCAGCTTCATCCAGTAGGTAGAAGTTGAACTGGCTGAATTCTTTGAGTCCCTGTAGGAACAAATTCAGTTCATCTTCATCGTCCGCTACCACTCTCATGTATTTTACTGGCAACCCCTTCATTTTACTGTCCACCGTCTCATTCTTGGGCGAGTACGACAAATATAGATGAACTCGCCCGTTCACTATCTTGACGTCCTTTCTCCCAAACCTGGAAATTATTAAAAAAAAAAAAACTTAACTAAAAGCGCATAGATAATTTTAAAAAAAGACTTACCTAAATAAATTCTTTAAAAAAACCACCAACATTTTGTTGGTCATTTTTTTCGGACTGGTTGACTCGAAAATGAAGGTTGCTGGTACATTCATGGTGGTAGTGGACACTTATACTGTGAAGTGAGTTTTTTTCTGTATTTTCTGGTATTTATATATATTTTTTCCATACGTTTTCATACACGTTCTTCGATTTCAGCATATTTTACTTTTTCCTTTCAATGATTAGATAGTTAAGGTTTATAAAAAGTAACTAAATTGTATCTAAGCTGAAAAGCGCATACAACGAATTATTTTTATATTTATGAATCGTTTATTGTAGTATAGGAGATTAATTGTTCTACATTTATTTTAATTATAATAGTTGATGGTTAATTAAAAGTACTTACCCAACACGTGTATGATCTTATGACCTCATACAGCGACTTTATTATAATGTTTTGCTAGTTATTTTATTAAGGATTTTTTTTTTAGAAAATGTTTGTCTGCGAATTCTGCAATAAATCGTTCACCAGAAAGGATAACCTAAAACGTCATGGGGACTGCAGATCCTCCACCAACATCTGCAGTCAATGTGGAGGGACCTTTAGATCAGCGGGGGCTCTTCAACGTCATGTAATGGAGATTCACCCAGCCCCGAGAGCCCTCAAACGTAAAGCTGAAGATTCCCTAACCCCCATGACAAAACAAGCTAGACTTGACCGAGCTGGTAATTTAATTTTTGTTTCCCATTTTAAACTCGTTATTGTTAAATCTAATTTATTGTTTTTTTTTTTTTTAGGAACTTCAACATCAGTCACCCGCAGGTGTCAGGAATGTGATCTGGAGATTCCGACTAATCATTGGGTTGGCCATCTTCGGAGTCTCCAACACCGGGCCAACACCTGCGTGGAGCAGGAGGAAGGCGTCGAATTGATAAAAACGTCATTTAAATGCCGAATTGCAACATACCGACTTCCCTCTAAACAAGACCCTACCAGCGTGAAGGAATTTCTACAACACCTTCAGAAAAAATTCATCCAGCTGGTAGGGGATATGCTTAATAAATTTAACCATATCAAGGTCGGTATGGAGCTTTTCGGTCGCTTCCTTCTGCAAACAAAAGAAATAGAAGAGGTCAAGTCTTTTAATACAAAATTTACGCTGGTGAACGAGGGTGCAGACTTGGAGGAGTTGTTTCAACAATTTTCAAATATCTTGGCAAAAAAATGTGTGGAATTCCAAGAAAAAGAAAGTGGTATGTATCGTGGTTAGTTAACGGCTTTATACTATACGATGTCTCCTTTGTTACAGGCTGGGCGTTGCAACAACTTCTCTACCTAGAAATAAGTATAAATAAAGTCAACCCCCTAAAAGCATCTTCTTATCTACCGCTACCAAAAGAAATAGATGCTAAGAAAGCTGTTTTAAACATCCAGAATTGGGACCAAAAATGTTTTATGTGGTCAGTCTTGGCTCAGCTACATCCAGTTGATAGGACTCAAAATGCAAATAGAGTCGCGAACTATTCGCATTATGAGAATGAACTGGATTTTACAGGTATAGAATTTCCGATTAAACTGAAAGACATTCGCAAGTTTGAGCAACTCAATAATATTTCTATCAACGTATACGGTTTGGATATAGTCTATAAATATGGTAGAAATATTGTTGAAGTTGTTGGTCCTTTATATTTTACTGAATCTCGAAAAGCGACACATGTAAATTTATTATTAATCAGTAATGATTTTGGTAACAATCACTACTGTTTAATAAAAAACATGTCTCGACTGATCTCAAGTCAATTATCTAAGCATGAAAAAAAAAAGTACTTGTGCGATGGTTGTTTGTTGTATTTTTCAAGCGAGCAAAAATTACAGGCTCATCAAGAACACGACTGCGGTCACGTTTCTGTTCAACTTCCGTCAACCAATTTAATAACAAATAAATACGGTGAAAAGGCTCCCGAGAATATTTTGAAATTTAAAAATTTCGAGAAGAAATTAAAGGTACCTTTTACTGTTTACGCCGATTTCGAGACAATTATCGAACCCGTCGAAAGAGAACAGAAAGAGCTGGACCCCGAAAATTCCTATACTATTAAAACACACAAAGCTATTCCCTACTCTTTCGCCTACTACATTAAATGTGATTTCGATGATTCTCATTCAATTTTCAAGACCTTCAGAGGAATCGATGCACAGAAAGTATTCGTAGATTGGTTAGAGAGTGATTGTAAATCAATCTATAACCGATTTATGAAAAATATCGTGAACATGCATCCTCTGAGTCCAGAACAAGAGAATGAGTTTCGCGATGCAATAAATTGTCATATTTGCGAAAAACCATTTAAAGTAGGAGATGAAAGAGTAAGAGATCACTGTCATCTTACAGGGAATTTTCGAGCTGCAGCTCATTCTATTTGTAATGTTAATTATACACTACCAACCCATATTCCCATCTTCTTCCATAACATGTCCGGGTTCGATTCCCATCTGTTTGTTAAGGAATTGGCTCAAGGAAACGAGAAATTGGATGTTATCCCCCAAAATAAGGAGCGGTACATTTCATTCACCAAACATATTTTGGTGGATAAGATCCTGCTCGACGAAACCGGTAAATACAAACAGGTATTTTTAAAGTTACGCTTCCTCGACAGTTTCAGATTCATGGCCTCAAGCCTAGATAAATTATCTCAAAATTTAAAACCAGAACAATGTCGAGAAGTTAGAAAATTTTTTCCCGCGGAAGATGAATTTCAAATTATTCGACAGAAGGGCGTTTTCCCGTATTCTTACGTGGATTCATTTTCAAAACTAAATGACAACAAGCTTCCATCCATTGATGATTTCTATAACCAGTTAAGAAAAGAAACCATCAAACCTGAAGATTACGAGCGTGCACAGACAGTATGGAATTTGTTCAAATGTAAAACTCTAGGTCAATATTCAGATATTTATTTAAAATCGGACGTATTAATTCTCGCTGATGTTTTTGAAAATTTCAGAGACGTGTGTCTATCAACCTACGGTCTAGATCCATGTCAGTATTACACAGCTCCAGGGCTGTCTTTCGATGCGGCTCTCAAAACGACAGCCGTAGAGCTGGAATTACTGACAGATATAGACATGATACACTTCCTGAAGCGCGGTATTCGCGGAGGGGTCAGTCAATGTAGTATAAGGAAAGCTGTCGCGAATAATAAATTTATTCCTCATTATGATGCTTCCAAACCCACTTCTTACATCATGTACTTAGATGCTACCAACTTGTATGGAGCAGCTATGTCTCAATATCTACCAACGGGTAATTTTAAATGGCTTGACGCGGATGAGATTAAAACTTTAGATTATACAAAATTAGATAAAAATTCAGACACTGGCTATATTTTTGAGATCGATTTAGAATATCCGGAAGACCTGCATTATAGGCATAACGATCTACCCTTTTGTCCGGAATCTGTTATTCCGAAAGACTCTAGATCTAAAATTAAAAAACTTATTCCAAATTTCGAACGTAAACAAAAATATATTATCCATTTTCAAAATTTGCAGCAAGCCATAAGTCATGGCATTAAACCCGGCCAAATTCATCGCGTTCTTTCATTTAATCAATCTCCCTGGCTAAAAATTTATATTGACCTAAACACAATAAAAAGGAATGCTGCATCCAATAAGTTTGAAAAAGACTTTTTCAAACTTATGAATAATGCTGTGTTTGGGAAAACCATGGAAAACGTGGAGAAAAGGGTAGATATCAAGCTAATTACCCATTGGGAAAATATTGGTAGGAAACTGGGGGCAGAAGCATGGATCTCGAAACCGCATTTCAAAGATATCACTATTTTTGGCGAAAATTTAGTTGCCATTCATATGGCTAAACAGAAAGTTGTATATGATAAACCCATATATGTTGGATTTGCCATTTTAGACATCTCTAAGACTATCATGTATGATTTTCTGTATAGCTATATTAAGCCTAAATACGGGGATAAGGCATCCTTGCTTTACACGGATACTGACTCCCTAATTTTAAAAGTTGATACAGATAATTTTTATGATGATATGCGAGAAAATTTGAATAGATTCGATACTTCCAATTACTCACAGAACAATTCACATAATCTACCTGTAAACCAATCAATCTTGGGTAAAATGAAAGATGAATACGCAGGTAAGATTGTGTGGGAGTTCTATGGAACTGGGGCGAAGGCATATTGTGTTAATGTGGAGGGAGAGTTAACTAAAAAAGCTAAAGGCGTACCTGATTACGTCATCAAAAAAGAACTCGGTCTTGCAGACTATAAGGCTGCGGTAGACGTAGAAGGTACGCTTATCCATCGACAGATGAACACTTTCCGTTCACATAAACACGATATGTTTATCGAACTTAAAAATAAGGTAGCCTTATCATACGCGGACGATAAACGCTACGTTATACCCGGTACAGAGTACACGCTTGCTTGGGGTCACCGAGATATAGTACTGTATAAGGAATAATCGGAAATCCTAGAGAAAGTTAGGGCTGATTACATCAACAGCAGCTTTTACAGTTTTTAAATCTTCTGGTAGCTATGACGTCTTTTAGGGGGTTTTTAGTTAAGGTTTAGTATATTAACTTTATATTATTTAATTATTTATTTTATTATTTTTTGTTATAAGATTTAGATTTTTTTGTATCTTTACATGTTTTTACGCTAGATATACGAAGTTTTTTTTGTTCTCTCTTGTTGAGCATTAACTCGAACTTCGCCATCATGTAAAAAAAAAAAAAAACCAGCCAACCGAACGACAATAAGCCAAGCCTATTTTTTCATGTCTACAACATTTAGCGGTTTAATTTCCAAGGCAAGCTTAGCTCGTTTGGTTATAGCACTGGCTGACGGTGACTATGGAGCGGGCGCCTCGGGTTCGATTCCCAGCAGCGACATAGACTTTTTTTTAATTCGTGCGTGGATGGTACGGAACGATTGGTAACGTGCGGGTAAAAAAAAAAAAAGCTCGCTGCAACCGCCAAGTTCTTGTTCTCTCCGCTAGATGGCGCTCGTAGATGAGCTGCGCCACGTTCTTGTTCTTTCCGCTAGATGGTGCTCGTAGATGAGTTTGAATGATTGATGATAGATGGCGCGCGGGGAGGGGAAGGGGTTGGGGGGGTGGGGTGGGGGTGGGGGTAATGTTCGGTTTGCTCAACAGATGGCGCGGGTAGATGAGGCGACGCTCTGACGTCAGAGCGTCACCACACCCAGGTTGGAGCATGCGCAGTGGCTTCGGAGGCGTCGGAGGCGTCGGAGGATGCAGAACCGGCCATTTATCTCTACTATGTGAATTTGTATTATAGATTTTTGATTTTTTTTTTATCGGATGCGTCTTTTTTGGAGGTTATTAAGAATGATTATGACAGTTTTCCGGATCGAAGGTAAGATTAAATCAGAATTTATGAATTTATTATTTACCTATATCCTTAAGTAAGTATAATGAAATTAATTTTATAATTGGTATCACGCGTAGGTATTTACCATGAATGTGATGTTCCTTTGTTCTTTATTTTTGTTTTGTGCTAAGTATAGCTATTATCAGTTAAATGACAATATTATGTAGGACGCGTTTTATTTATCTATTCTGCCTTATCTGATCTAGAACAACAATGTCTATTGTATAAAAATGATTATCTATATAATTTTTTTCTTGGTCTCTTATTGTTATTGACACAACTAACCTCTGCTGAAGAAAATGTCACGTTTAAAAATAAAGATAACTACCAAAGAAACTCGTAGGAGCAGTTTAGAGAAAAGCTCCATTGGAAGGAGTTCCACTTTTGTCCGTTTACCTGACATCTTGTTTTCTCTTTAAAAAGGGTGTTAATGTGCGACAACTAGCTTGTGATAGTGTAATAATGTTGAACCAGTGTCATCATCATGATATAGGCGATCACTCGATACCAAGTATGATTATCTTCTATTCTATTCTTATTGTCGTCGATTGTGCGTTTTCTCATGGGTATATAAGTATTGGCCGATTTTAATTGTGATTCCTGCCAGAAAGCCGTTTCTGAAAAAGATAAATACAAACTTCGCTGTAGTGGTGAGTGTCGCCGGTATTTCTGTATGAGCTGCACTGGCCTGGACAAAGCAACTACAAAAGTCCTCCACCAACAAAAGTACAACAACATTAGATTCTTCTGCAGTGTTTGTGATTCCCCTACTTTAAAATACCTGCATGACAAGGTAACGCATCTATATAATTCCCAAATCCCGATGGAAAATGTCGAAGAACCTGGAGCCTGTTTGGAAAAGAACAATTTTATTCCTGTCATCAATAAAATGTACGACATTTTGAGTAATCACGACTCCATCTGGAAGCAGCTGAACAAGAAAATAGATGACAATCACAGCCACCACTGCACAATTTCTGAAAATGGATAAGAATCTTTATTCAAATCTATCAAGGAGATGAAACAAGATGTTTTTAATCTGTCATCGGTTTTCATGGGCAATCATGATGATTCTATTAAGATCCAGGTGCATGACTGATCAAAGAATGATCTAATGAAGGAAATAAGTGATTTACGTGGAAGTGTGAATCAGATGTCTCTTATGGTAGAAAAATTAGCTGCTAAAGATAAACCAAGCATCAGGAGCACTCAGCCTGTAGCAAATAAGACAATTCCGACACGCATCACAAGAAAGCGGCTGCGGCTACTCCAGTTTACCCTATAAGATTATTACGAAAGAGGATTGGCATTACGTGATTGTGTCTAAAATCCCCACTTCATATACTTCAAATCAAATTGCCCACTATGTCAAAGAAAAACTTGGAACTACAGACATTATCCGATGTTTTTCCATGCTGAAGGATAAGGACAGTGCACTTTCCGACTTCAAAATTGGCGTAAAGAACAAAAATCATTTTGAACAGTTGAAGGATATAAATATGTGGCCGACCAGAAGTGCAATAAACACTGCCATGTCATCTCTGGCAACATCAAGCTTAACATCACCTGCTGCAAACACTATTACCACTAGACATCAACTAATTGATCCAGCCACGGTAGCGATCCAAAGCTTACCTCCAGGATGCAACTCAAAAAAAATCAATCAAGATTGGATCCGACAAAGAGGCCATTGCTGCATGTAAGTCTCATGTGCTCAATGGAAACTCTGATATTATTATAGAGTCCCCGGAGAATACCGACATTGACCCGATGACCCCACCTAGAGTGCGTATGTCGCGAGACTCTGATGCGGCAAATGGACGTTATCTGTTGGCTAGATTGAGAGACCCTTCCATCTTGAAAGCTCTCCGGCTTTACCTTGCTTACCTCCACAACCAACCTCCCAATGTGTGTTTCGAAGTTTATACCAACACCAGGATTAAATTGGCGCTAGCATCAAAGGGCCTTACTAGTGACGTGGATTCTTTACGTAAGCTATACTATCGTTTCCACAACGCCTATGGCATCGGCTTGATGGAAGTTGAAGCGGATCTCTCTGCTTTTAGATCATTAGAAATCCAACAGCTTCAAAAAGTGAGGGAGAGTCATTCCAAGTACAGGGCGACTCAGAGTAAATTTCCCTTTTCGCTGGCAATATGCGACGACTGCGTGCGGATTATCAGTAAACATGGAGCAGTGGTCGAACGAGCAACGCGCGTTTATGGTCGAGGAGTTTTCTAAATCGAATGATTCTTATGTCACGGCATGGCGACGTTTTTGTAACCGTAACCATATCCGGCGTATACGTGACGCTACGTCAAAAAATGTATTGAAATCGTAGCTTGAAAGATTCAAAGTGGTACAGTGGCAATTGGCAAATCAGAAGCGTCCCGTCATATTTTCGAATTGAGTACCTCGAATTTTCAGTCGCAGCACGTCGCACAATCCCAATGTTCTCTGGCGTTCTGATGGACTTCTGTTGGCCGGGACGCTTCGGATTTGCCATTGGACCACTTTGTCTGAATCTTTGAACCCATAATTTCAATAAATTTTTTGACGGAGTATTACGTATACGCCGAATATTGTAACGGTTACAAAAACGTCCCCGTGCCGCGACATAGGAATCGTTTGATTTAAAAAACGCCTCGACACTAAACGCGCGTTGCTTGTTCGACCACTGCTCCATGTTTACTGATAATCCGCATGCAATCGCCGTAAATTGCCAGCGCTAACCCCTCCACAAATATTAAGTTGGATGTACAGGACGCGTTCGAAAAGCTAAATTTACTCTGAGTCACCCTGTATTTTTCTGGTGGTTCTCCAAATAAAAATAAAAATAAATAAAAAAATAAGTTGACGCGAACAGAGGAACAAGCACCCTCTGAAAAAATGAACGATAGCAAGTTTAGTGTTTTTCTCCTCAATATTCAGTCCATAAGACACAAAACTGACAAATTACTTTTTTTATTACTAGAACAGCTCAATTTTCGAGAAATTATTGCCATAACTAAACATTGGCTAAATATCGATGAGCCTGTATTTGTCAAAAATTACACAATATCTAGGTATACTAGAAGTATATTATCCCACGGAGGTACAGTAATAATGTCTACTAATAACAACTTTTCGGCAGTGACTAAGTTCGACAATTTATTAGTTAAGAAATTATTTGAATTTTCTATCGTCTACAACAATATTTACGACCTCTACATTGTTTGCATTTACAGAACACCTGATGCCGACGTGGTTAGATTATTTCAAAATTTACTAAGCTTGCTTGAGTCCCTTCCTCTTAATAGTAAATTCATTTTATGTGGCGACTTAAACATAGATTTTTCCAGTGTGTGTGTTGCTCAAGAATCTATTGCCTCTATATTTGAATCTTTTGGTATAGTCATGCATGTTCAATCTCCGACACGAATAACTGAAAACAGATCTAGCACTATCGACGACGTCGGGTCATCTTTTGATCCAAATTTCGTTGACTGTTCTGTTTTAAGTTCAGGTTTTTCAGATCATGAAGAAGTACTCACAAACATTTCTGTGAAGACGATTGGCAGGGACGCTCCACATAAGTGACGCCGAATTTTCTCGGAATTTTTTTTTAAAAATTTTGGGCGCCTATGTCAATCAATTGCTTGGGATTGCCTCTCTGATGACATTGATAGTGCATTTGCAAATACACTTTCTGGTTTGGCTTCCAAGGCATTTCCTCTTAGGCCTATCAAAAAAAAACAACATAAACCTTGGACTACTAAAGGCTTGCGCGTATCGGCAAAGAACATGCGCTCGTTGGCACACTTTAAAAAATTTTTGGACAAACCCTTCTTCCAAAATTACGTAAAATGTTATAGAAAAACTTATCATAAAACAATAAAAGCCGCCAAAAACCTCTATTATGACAACCGGTTCGCTCAAACCGAAAATATTGCCAAGGAAACGTGGTCTATTGTCAACGATTTGAGAAATAAGGCTTCCTCATCCAGTATAACCTCTACCTCACCTAAAAGCCTGAATGATTACTTCGTTAATGCCGCAAAAAAATTAATGACTACTATAGTTCCGTCTCGCGATCCACTTTCGTATCTTTCGAATACCAATGTGAATTTACACAGTTTTTTTCTAACACACGTGGAAACATCAGAGCTTTGCAGTACAATTAAAGACATCAAAAACATTTTTTCATCTGGGACTGATGGGCTCACTTTAAAAATGTTTCTCAATTTACCAGAATGTTCATTGAATCTCCTCACCACTTTAATAAATAAATCATTCCAACAGGGTGTTTTCCCGAATTGCCTTAAGACGGCTATTATTATTGCTCTGCATAAGGGTGGGGATAAAGATCTAGCTTCGAACTATATCGTCCAATTGCACTTCTTTCCACTTTATCAAAAATCATTGAAAGATTGGTTAAGAAAAGGCTCCTATCATTTCTGCATAAATATAAGATACTAACTACTCACCAATTTGAATTTCTAACCAACAGATGTTCTATTGATGCTATGTACTCTGTCTTCAATAATGTCTACTCTAGCCTGAACAATTTGCACTCTACAGCATCAATTTTCTGTGATTTTTCTAAAGCATTCGACTGTGTAAGTCATAATATCCTAATTAACAAATTGCAGTACTACGTAATTCGAGGCTTTCCTCTGGAATGGTTCAAGTCGTATCTTAACAACAGAAAACAACTTGTGAGGGTTGATACGTCGATGTCTTCATGCAAGCCAATGGAATGTGGAGTTCCGCAGGGTTCCGTGTTGGGTCCAGTATTATTTTTGCTGTTCATCAACGACATTGCTAATCTAGACATCAGCGGTAAAATCTGCCTCTTTGCTGATGATACTAGTTTCACTTGGAGCAATCCGGATATTGTGGCACTTCATAGAACCATGTCCAATGATTTGTTTACCATTAAAACATGGTGCGACTCTAACCTTCTCTGTTTCAATGCCGCGAAAACCAAAGTTCTGTCATACAAA